TGAATATAAGGAACACTCTCAAAGAAGCCATGTGGAACCTGGTTTGCTGATACACTGTATTGGTTGTTTTTATCTACTAGACAGCAGAACATTTAGTTTACAAACATTTCATACATCTTTGCTCTCCAGTTCTCTAGCTCCATAACTTTCTCAGGACCAAGATATTCAATCTACATTTAGTTTTCAGTCCTCTATAGATACTGCTACTACAACTGATCCTGTTTTATTTATTGAGCTCTGCAAGTCCCTTTAGACCTAATAAATATGGCATACAAAGATGAAAGTTAACAGAAGGTTAAGGCAGGCAAAATCTCAAAATTTAACTTGAAACATAAAACAAAAAGAAGTTAAGAAATATTCAAGAGAGTGCAAAATGGTTAAATGTAAGTTTCTTTTTGTGCTTAGTAGTCAAATAGCTCACCAGCACCAGTCTAGAATCCAAGGTATAGGTAGCAGGCTGAAGAAAAGGACTGCTGCTCTTTGTGACAGCAGTGATCTCTCTTCTGGGCCTGCTGCACAGTAACAGCTACAGCTCTCCAATCAGAAAGGAATGTATGAAGATTTTGGTTTGGTGTTGAAGAGCATTTTGGCAATTAAGTTCAGTAAGAAACTTATATTTAACTGTTTACAGTCCGTTGACTGTATTTATTGGCTTTTTGCCTATGCTTCAGTTGGGTTTAATTTTACAGAATTATCACACATACAATTATATAAAATAATTGAACCCTTATGATTATATACCATCACTGTAGAAGCATAGGATGCTTAGAGGAAAGCTTTAAAGTTTATATATCCAGAACATATCTCTTTGATGCAATATCTGCATAAAAGGCACTGATGTAGAGGTTCATTGTTAATTTATTGTTGTGCACCCCCCCTTTTATTTATTTAGAACTATTATTACAATGATTATTAGATTTTGTACCACATCACCACATGTATCATTATTTAACATTAAAAAACTACATTTTTGTTCCTTTCAATGTGTTTTACATAGAACTTTCATTTAGTGCCTTAGAGAACTTAAACTCTTTTTCCTTTGCTCTTCATGCTGTTGTCTCATGGCTGGGTAAGCACAGCATGAGAACTGTAAAGCTCCAGTAAAAATGAAATAAAGCTCTGAAATGAAGGCACAGATAGGAGTCAACAAGTTGGGCTTATAACTCAGCAGGACTACGTCCTCGTTCACCCATCCTAAACAACAGCTCTTTCTGCCAGCTCACTCAAACCTTGAGCCATATTTCTCCAACAGAGTTCTGCATGTATATAGGTTCTTCTCTGTTCTTTCAGATCCGCTCTGTGTGTTTTCAGAATAGCAATATACTGGCTTTGAGCTTTTCAGCGCCTGTAGAGGTCCAGCCATATACTGAAGATTAGTTTTCAGATCAATATTGATTTGCATTAAACCATACATCTTTACAGAAAACAACAAAATACTAGTAAAGAGAATCAGTTATATAAAAAAAAAAAAATAAGTAAATATAAAATTATACTAAATATTAACGCTTATACAGAATGTTACAGATAAATATGTAAATGCTTATACTGTATATGCTTATAATGCATTTGTATGGCTGTTGTGTTTGGCAATGACAGAAATGCATAATAATAATAAAACAAAAAATTATTTAGCAAAATACAGTTTAAACTGCACATGTAATCACGGAGGCTATAGGAAACTGCCTATGGAATGGTACAGCAGGAACCTCCAAGTGTCAGTATGTAGTCTTCTACAGCATTCTGGTAGTTATGGGGCAGCCTGATATTTAAATATTGACATTAAGTAGGACATTTGAGATTGGCTTTGCTATCCCCCCACTTTACCTATCAGAAGGTCGAACACATAATGACCAGCCGTAAACTTCAGTTGATAAGAGGGGCTGGGGCCTAACATTGACTTCCTAACTGAAGTTGGTATTTGCACAATTACAGTGCTTTTAGTTTGCAGTATGCAGTTTGTGATTTGCAGTTTACAGTATGACTAGAGAGGAAAGAGCTAGATGATGCTGGACAACATCCAGCCAGGATATGAGGCAATCTCCATGTTGTGACGATCGCGGCGTCAGACCCCAGCCCTTCTCACCAAACTTGTGACCGAAGGACTAGCCAATCTAAAACCGCTCTGTCACATGCGTAACAATGCCACGCACAGCTGCACCCTGCACAAAGATTTTCCAGCTAATGGACCACAACCTGTGTGCTGGCAGCCTGGGAGCGATTGTTACTGGGTCAGGTTAATTACGCAATTAACCCTTTCACACTGCCACCACCTCCTTTTTGTACAGAGAAAGAGGAAACTCAGCAATATCAGCAATAGCACTATGATGTTTGAATAATCGTCGGTATAACACTGTCACCACAGGCAGAGATATACCGAAGTTTAGAAAGCACACACAGTGCTTTTCAGAGGCAGGGATTCTTAGTTCGCATTAAAGAGCTTTAGAAACAGTTCAACACTTTCAGAAAGTAAGATTTATTACTAAAAGGTCAAAAAGGTGCAATAAAAATATTTACAGAAAAAAAAAATAAATATATATATATATATATATATATATATATACATACAGAGAACAATAGCACAGCAAAGAGATAACAGAAAGAAGTTTAGAGGGATAAAGTACTTGCCGTCAGCTTTGGGTTAAGCAGATCAAATTTCACAGCTAAAAGGGTCTTATCTCCTAAAGTTAGTTCCGATGTTAAAAGGGAGAGTCTTCAACTTCAACTCAGCTTAGTTTTTTCTAGGAACTCCACAGGGTGTCTCCCTGAAGCAGAGAACCAATCACCTCATTTGGGGAGGGGTATTGGGGCAGAGACCCAAGCTAGAACCAAAAACCTTCGTGGTTGATGTCATGGTTCATAACTTACTCTCGGTGCATTTAGCAGCCTTGCCACTAGTAGATTAATATGCAGACGCATCTGCTGAATGGTTAGATATTAAATATGACATATCTGCTTGAATGGTTCAGGACATATAATTGTCTGTTCTCCTGCATATGCCAGCTAGGGGGTGAAATATACCAGACGACTTGTCTTAAAGTGAGCCGTCTGAATATGTGCTCCCTGTTTATGTAATTATGTCCTATTTGAAGATATAAAATTATATGGAAAAGTGAGTTTTTAAATGTAAGTCTGTTTTTACAACTACCTGGAATGCCTTTGAGCTCAGTGAAGGACTTGGTTTATGGCTTTACGATATCCCAGATTGAGAAGTTAACAGACATCTAGGTCCTAGCTCGGTTGGATGTTTATAGCCCTGGAGCTCTCCCACTGGGGCCTGTTGCCTTTTTAACACAGACCACATTCCTGAGGGAGGGCTGAAATTGGAGGAGGAAGCCTGATTTGGGAGAGAGATGATACAAAATGGAAGATTCTTAACAAGATGGATGACCGCGTCCATCTCGGTGTGCACGATTGCTACACATGTCACTTGCTACAGCTTCTAATAACACACAGTGAGACGCTCAGGGTGTATAGAAGATCAGAGAAAGTAATTTCAGTACAGGGCAGAAGCCTGTACAACTGTGCAAGTCTAGTGCTAGATACATACGATAAGCTTTTTTTCGTTCAACCCACAGTGTTCTGCAGGTGGGGTGGGAGGTTGGGCAGGGGTTAGCTGTCCCTTCCGGGCGAACACAGCAATTACATGCTACAGCCAGCCTGCCAGTATGCAATTGAGCCTGCCCTTACAACTGTCTATGGCCAGCTTAACCAAACTCTCTCCACTGTGCTATTGTGTTCTTGACAGGGGCACTGCTCCCCCAGCCAGAACAAACTGATCAGTGCTCACAGCCATTGGCTTTTCCAGCATGCCCATTCGACAGAAGCCAGATAGGCTGCTGTACACACTGGCTGAATGTCAGCCGGTTTCTGTTGAATTGGCCGATACCAGCTGATATTCGGCCCCTGTGTGCACCCTTAAAGGTAAGGCTGAATTTCAGATTTCAGCAGCAGAATGCCCTACTTCTTCAGATAGCAATAATTAAATTAGTAACAAACTGGATGCTTTCTTACAATGAATGTTATCTACACTAACAACTATTGAAGGATAGTACATAGATATTGTGATCCAGGAAGTTGATCTGACTGCTTTTTTTCTCTCTCTCTGGAACAAGGCTATTGGAGTTGAGTTTGTGAGAAATTCATCTTCATATATGTGTGTCTTTCCTTCAGCGTAGTAACCTATTTAACATTATCAGCAATAGTACACAAAGTAACTTGCATGTCATGGTTTACTGCAACCAAAATGTACGATGTATGAAAACACACATACAAACTATTTACACATACTGCTGAGGCAGTTACTCTGGATCAGAACATGGACATATAATCATTTCATCCAAGATAAACAAAGTATAATTCCCTGGATATGAGCATTTACTATAGGCAGATGTTAAAATAAACTTAAACAGATTTACGTCTGTGCCCAGTGTATAGCTGATGGCTAAATAGTCTGCCAATTTATTTTGCTACAAGGGTCAATTATTGATTTTAAAAACAAATCATGCTCTGTTTAACCACCCCAATACCAGCATATTAACCCCCTTCCTTCCAGGCCATTTTTCAATGCTGTGATAGTTTCACTGCCAACTACTCTGTCATGCAACACTGTACTGAATTTTATATAACTTTTTGAGATAGATACATTTACAAACTCAATTTTAAAAAAGTTGGGACACTATGTCAAATCTACACAAAAATATAATGCAATGATTTGCAAATCTTATAAACTAATTTTATTCACAAGAGAAAATAGAAAATATATCAAATCTTTGACCACTTGAAGACTGCCTGCAGTGTACTACGGATGGGTGGCAGCTACAGGCAGAGCAGTACATGTGGAAAGTGTTTCACATTGGGACTTTAACCACCTCCCGCCTGCGATATAGTAATATGACGGGCGCAAGGCAGTTCTCTCGTTCTGGGAGGACGTCATATGACGTCCTCCCATTCTCACTGCGCATGCGCGCGGCTCAGGGAGCGTGCAGCGTGGCGATCGGCGGTGTGCTGTGTCCCTCGGACACAGTAGATCACCGATCATGGAAAGAGCCGAAGATGTCGGCTCGGTCATGTGATCAGCTGTGTCCAATCACAGCTGATCACATGTAAACAGGGAAATGCCGGTTATCGGCATTTCTCTCCTCTCGACCTGTCACGCTGACAGCTCGAGAGGAGAGGAGAGCCGGTAATCAGCTTTCAGCGGAGGGGACATGTACACTGATCATCAGGGCACTGATGATCAGTGTGCCCTGATGATCAGTGTAGCCCCAGCAGTGCCACCTGTCAGTGTCCATCAGTGACTTATGTCAGTGCTCATCAGTGCCTCGTGCCAGTGCCCATCAGTGCCTACCAGTGCCCATCAGTGCCACATATCAGTGCCTACCAGTGCACATCAATGCCACATAGCAGTGCCCATCTGAGCTGCCTTTCAGTGTCACCCATCAGTGCCACCTGTCAATGCCAATTAGTGCCACCTATCAGTGCTGCCAATCAGTGCCGCCTATCAGTGCCAGTCAGTGTTGCCTATCAGTGCCAGTCAGTGTCGCCTACCAGTGCCAGTCAGTGCTGCCTATCAGTGCGCATCAGTGCCGCCTATCAGTGCCTCTCAGTGCCGCCTTTCAGTGCTGCCTATCAGTGCCATATATCAGTGCTGCCTTTCAGTGCCCATCAGTGATGCCTGTCAATGCCCATCAGTGCCACCTACCAGTGCCTCCTCATCAGTGCCCATCAGTGCCACCTATCAGTGTCCATCAGTGCCTTATGTCAGTGCTCATCAGTGCCTCGTGCCAGTGCCCATCAGTGCCACATATCAGTGCCTACCAGTGCCACATATCAGTGCCTACCAGTGCACATCAATGCCACATAGCAGTGCCCATCTGAGCTGCCTTTCAGTGTCACCCATCAGTGCCACCTGTCAATGCCAATCAGTGCCACCTATCAGTGCTGCCAATCAGTGCCACCTATCAGTGCCAGTCAGTGTCGCCTATCAGTGCCAGTCAGTGCTGCCTATCAGTGCGCATCAGTGCCGCCTATCAGTGCCTCTCAGTGCCACCTAATAGTGCCAGCCAGTGCCGCCTTTCAGTGCCATATATCAGTGCTGCCTTTCAGTGCCCATCAGTGATGCCTGTCAATGCCCATCAGTGCCACCTACCAGTGCCTCCTCATCAGTGCCACCTATCAGTGTCCATCAGTGCAGCCTATCAGTGCAGTCTCATTAACGCACATCAGTGAAGAAAAATCACTTATTTACAAAATTTTAAAGGCAAAATCTAAGGAAAAACTTTTTTTCAAAACTTTCAGTGGTTTTTGGTTTAAGAAAAAATAAAAAACCCAGATGTGATTAAATACCACCAAAAGGGACATTCCCCCCTTCCTCTCGCCATCTTCCATGGCTTTCTCGGGCTCCACCAAATGAAGCCAGTGGTTCCGCCGGCTGACCATATGGCTCCAATAATCTCTATGGTCTAAGAAACCAGAAGTAACATGTGGAAGGAAGGGACATTCTGAAGGTGGTCATTGAATTTTGGAGGCCTGTATGTGGCTAGGCTGCCAAAAAGTCTCTCACATGTGGTACGGGAGAAGTGGCAGAATGTGTTTGGGGTGTTATTCTGCATATTCCCATGACATATGTGAATATATCATTCAAGTGACAACTTTGTGTAAAAAAAAAAAAAAAAAAAAAAAAGGTAATTTTTCCAAAAATGTGTGGCAAGAAAAATAATCTTCCATGGACACGATATGCCTTCCAGCAAATTCATGGCATGTCTACTTTTCAAAAATGGGTCATTTGGGGTTTTTTTTTGTACTGCCTGGCATTTTAGCACCTCAAGAAATGTGATATGCAGTCAGAAAGTAATATATACCAAAGTTTGTATACGGTATTATTTTCACACAAACCAATTAATATATACCTTGTGGTTTTTTTAAAACAAAGATATATAGCAGAATACATTTTAGCCTAAATTTATGAATAAATTTGAGTTTATTAGAAATTTTTAATAAAAGAAAGCAGAAAATATTACTTTTTTTCAACATTTTCATTTTTTTTTCATTTATATCACAAAAAATTTAAAAAAACCAGTGGTGATCAAATACCACCAAAAGAAAGCTCTATTTGTGTGAAAAATCTTTCTGCCCTCAGACGGCACTGCATTAAAAACAGCCATGATTCTGTGATAGACATCACTGCATGGGCTCAGGAATACTTCCAAAATCACTGCCTGCGAACAGTTTGCCATGCCATTCAAATGTGAGGTAAAGCTCTATCATGAAAAAAAGAAGCCATATCTGAACATGATCCAGAAATGCCACTATCTTCTCTGGGTCAAAGATTATTTAAAATGGTCTGTTTCAAAGTGGAAAACTGTCCTGTGGTCAGACGAATTGCAATTTGATATTCTTTTTTGGGAACCATGGGCGCCACATTCCCCGAACTATAGAGGAGAGGAACCTTTTAACTTGTTATCAGAGTTCGGTTCAAAAGCCTGCATCTCTGATGAATAAGGGTTCATTAGTGTTTATGGAATGGGAAGCTTGCACATCTGGAAAGTGCTTTTCCAGATGTGCAAGCCACATCAATGCTGCACGATACACTGCTCAAAAAAATTAAAGGAACACTCTGAAAACACATCAGATCTCAACGGGGAAAAATATCATGCTGGATATCTGTACTGATATGGACTGGGTAATGTGTTAGGAATGTAAGGACGTCCATTGTTTGGTGGAAATTAAAATTATCAACCTATAGATAGGAGTGAATTCAAAGACACCCCAAAAATCAAAGTGAAAAAATTATGCAGCAGCTAGTCCATTTTGCTGAAATTTCCTTGCAGCAACTCAAAATGGTACTGAGCAGTTTGTACTGCTCCCATGTGCCTGTATGCAACAGGCAGCATAAGATTCTCCACGGCTTCTCCAGAACCTTTCACATCTGTCACATGTGCTCAGGGTAAACCTGCTCTCATCTGTGAAAAGCACACGATGCCAGTGACGGACCTGCCAATTCTGGTGTTCAATGGCAAGTGCCAGTCGAGCTCTATGGTGCCGGGCAGTGAGCACAGGGCCCACTAGAGGATTTCAAGCCCTCAGCCCACCCTCATGAAGCCTGTTTCTGATTGGTCAGAGACATTCACACCAGTGGCCTGCTGGAGGTCATTTTATAGGGCACTGGGAGTGCTCATCCTGTTCCTCCTTGCACAAAGGAGCATATACCGGTCCTGTTGAAGGGTTAAGGATCTTCTACAGCCCTGTCTAGCTCTCCTAGAGTAACTGCCTGTCTCCTGGAATCTCCTCCATGCTCTTGAGACTGCTGGGAGACACAGCAAAACTTCTGGCAATGGAATGTATTGATGTGCTATCCTGGAGTAGTTGGACTGCCTGTGCAACCTCTGTAGTGTCCAGGTATCGCCTCATGCTACCAGTAGTGATACTTACCGAAATGCAAAACTAGTGGAAAACAGTCAGAAAAGACGAGTAGGGAAAAAAATGGCAGTGGCCTCCACCTGTAAAACCATTCCTGTTTTGGGGGTCATCTCATTGTTGCCTATCTAGTGGGCCTGTCGTTAATTTCATTAACACCAAAGCAGCTGAAACTGATTAACAACAATTTTTTGAGCAGTGTATATCCAGCTTTTAGAGCAGCATATGCTCCCATCCAGACCATGTCTTTTTCAGGGAAGGCCTTGCACATTTCAGCACGACAATATTAAACCGTGTACTACATCTATGACAAACGCATGGCTCGGTATTAGAAGAGTCCATGTACTTAAGCTTAACTGGCCTGCCTGCAGTCCAGATCTTGCACCAAAGTATTTGGTGCATCTTGAAATGTAAAATAGGACAAAGACGACCCAGGACTGTTGCGCAGTTAGAGTCCTATTTTAGGCAACAATGGGACATTACTCTTCCAAAACTCCATCAAAAGAAGAGGAGATGCTACACTGTGGTAGACTTGGCACTGGACCAACTTTTTTGAGACATGTTGCTGCTATTAAATTTCAAAATTACCTTATTTTTTTCTTAAAATGGTAATTTTCTCCGTTTAAACATATGATATATTTTCTAGCTTCTATTGTGTATAAAAAAGAGGTTTATGAGATTTGCAAATCATTGAATTCTGTTTTTATGTAGTTCTTGCTCAGCATCCCACCTTTTTTTGAACTGGAGTTGTAATAACCACTGACATTTTTTTTATTTTTTTAATATATAAAGGAAAAAAAAACAACCAAACATTTTTTTTTTGAAAGACAGGTCAAATATTTAGTCTTTCTTTAGAAGATTTGACCAAAATGTATTTTTCTACAGTTCTTGCTATATAAACCCCCAAATAATAGACAATACATATTGTATATATAAACCCCCAAATAATAAAATACACATTTTGTCTGTATGTATACATATTTGAAATCTACCAAGAGTGTTTTTTACAGTCATTTTGCCTGCACAACCCCTGAAAAGAGTTATAGTTAACATGCTTTCATAGGTTCACCTATTTTATTTTCATTTATTTAAGGTACTTATATAGCTCTGTCAATTTACACAGTGCCTTACACATGCATTATACATTCACATCAGTCCCTGCCCTCAAAGAGCATACAATCTAAGGTCTCTTATTCATAAATGCACATACTAGGGCAAATTTAGACAGGAGCCCATTAACCAACCAGTATGTCATTGGAGTGTGAGAGGAAACCGGAGTGTCACGATCGCGGTGTCAGATCCCAGACCTTCTCACCAAACTCGTGTCCGAAGGGCTAACTGATCTACAACCGCGATGTGACATGCGTAACAATGCCACACCCAGCTGCACCCTGCACAACGATTTTCCAGCTAATGGGTACCGATCCATGTGCCAGCAGCCTGAATCGATTGTTACTGGGTCAGGTTGATTACGCAATTAACCCCTTCACACTGCCACCACCTCCTTTTTGTTCATAGAAAGAGGAAACTCGCAATATCGCTATAACACTATAATAATTGAAATAATCGTCCGCATAACCTGCCCATTGACATAGGCCGGTTATACAGAGAGTTAAACCAACAGTAGCGTCTCTTTAAAGGCAGGGATTTGTAAATTGCAATTAGGAGCTATAGAAACAGTTCAACGCTTTCAGAAGAAAGATTTATTACTAAAAGGGTCAAACAGGTGCAGTAAAAATATTTACAGAGAAGATGTAACTAAGACATATATATATATATACACACACACACACATAGAAAACAGCACAGCAAAGAGATAACAGGGAGAAGTTAAAGGGTTAAGTTACTTGCCCTTAAGCCTTGGATGGAAGCAAATCACGTTTCAGAGGGAAAGGTCTCCCCAGGTGGTATATTGATGTTAAGAATGGGAGACGTCTTTAACTTAACTTCCTTAGGCTTGGCAGCCTGTTTTAAAGTTTCCCAGCAGAGGGTGGTTCTGAAGTGAAAGACCAATCCCCTGTTTAGGGAGGGATCGTCAGGCGGAACTCTAAACTGGAACCAACACCTTTCATAATGAATATTCTGGTCTATAACTTTCCATCTGCACAAGCGACAGTCCTCCCGCGGGTATATTACTATGCAGACAAGTCTGAGGATTATTTAGATATGAATTATGAAATTATATATTGCACGGTTCATGAGTTCTATGTTTCGGCTCCCCTGATGGTCCGAGATAAGCGAGTGACCCGTCAAACTGTTTGCCTTCTCATTGGCCATCTGGCGAGGTGTCCGGTTTTTATGTAAGTCTCTCATATTCCAAGATATGA